GATTGGCCAAAAAATCGAACCTACTAGCAGAAAGTTCTTCAGGTACGGCGGCTCTATAGGTTCTCCTTCACAGTTAGGGTTTCTTCTTCGACTAACCTGCACAAAAAAAGATTGTGAACATAATGATCAAAAAATTTTGTGAAACGAAAAATGTGAAGGGGTTCATCAGAGTGGTTTTAGGGTTTTAGCCACGATGGCTTCGCCGAGCTTTACCAACAGTTTTTGGCTCACTCACTGTCCCTTTTGCTCCAATATGGCCACGGAAAGACTTAGAATCGAATTTTGAGCGGGTAGGAGAGAATTTTGCCTTTTTTAGCAGTCATCAGTGGCTCTAGTGCGGCGACGGCCAGGGGTCGGTCTCCTTCTCCGGCAGCTGGTCCTTCTTCTCTAGTGAGGGCAAGGCGGTTAGAGTTGGGGTTCTCCTGTGATGCAATGTTTATATACCAATCCCACCTCGATCTAGGCCGTTTATTTGCGTCGATGTGGAGTGAGGAGAGTCGTCCGATCGTTACCTATTTAGGTTGATTGCGTGGGCAAATCTGGACCGTTCATCACGATTGATCTCATTCGTCCAATCGTGCATAAGCATGAAATGCATCTGAGCTGTTCACGCACACGGGATATAATTTGGGCTGTTGGATCGCTATGCACGCGGATTGCCTGCGTGGTGCCGATGTCAGCATGTTCTGCCACACGGTATGCTCTGGTTCGTTGAGGATGCTGACTGGGCCGTCCCACGTTGTCAAATTTTTTCTTTTTGTATTTTTAACCCCTTGTTTTTACTTTTTTTCAAAAATACCATCTGAACTCAATTTTTTAGCAAATTTCTCCAAAATTATTTTTAATTACGTCCCTAACCTATTTTTCTTAAATAATTTAATAAAAATAAATTAAAATAATGTTTTAAATTATTTTTATAACACAAAACTTGACCTAGGGCCAAATTTCGGGCCCAAATATTACAACTTTCCCTCCTAAAAAAGAAATTTGGTCCCTCAAATTTGTCACCCTCTTACTTACTGAAACAGTTAAGGATACTGGGCTTTGAAGTTTGATTCTAGCTCTCATATGGCCTCTTTCTGTGTGTGATTCTGTCATAGACCTTGACAAAAAGAATTTCTCTATTGTAAAGTACTTTACTTTTTCGGTCTACAATGCTCACTGGTACTTTCTCATAGGATAGATTCTTTTAAAGTGAAAGGGGGCTCATGGAATAGATGTGTGAGGGGTTCGGGTTG